TCCTTCCTTCCTTCCTTCCTTCCTTCCTTCCTTCCTTCCTTCCTTCCCTCCCTCCCTCCCTCCCTCCCTCCCTCCATCTATCCTTTCTTACCTTCCTGCCTTCCCCTTGCTCTCCAATTCCCCCCTCCTTCCTTTCCCTTCCCTTCCCCCCTCCCTCTTCCTTACTCTTACTTTCTCTCCCTCTCTTTTACATCTTCTCAATCTCCTTCCTTCCTTCCTTCCTTCCTTCCTTCCTTCCTTCCTTCCTTCCTTCCTTCCTTCCTTCCTTCCTTCCTTCCTCGCTTTAGTTTAGCGAGTAAGTATATTTTGTGAAGGCAGAAAACGGGTCCATTTAATAGCCAAGGTGGCATGTTTTGCCCACCCAGCCATTGGGTGGTTTGGGGGTAACGTGAATCCCACCTTCCTCACCTCTACCTGACAGGTAGAGAGATAGATATTCCCCCAACCTGCTTTGATTTGCTCAACGGCTGCGGGAGCTCCGGGAGCTGAGGTTCACACACCTGAAAGTTGCCGATTTAGACCAAGGGCCTTCCAACTTGGCAAGCTTAAGACTTCTGGATTCAGAATTCCCGAGCTGGAGGAGAAAGAATTCTGGGAGTTGAAGTCCAACAAGTCTTCAAGCGGTCAAGTTGGAAGACCCCTGGTTCAGACCAAGCACCTGGTCCCATTTTCCTCGCTCTGACCTGCTTCTCTTGCTTCTCTCCCCTCTCCCCTCCCCCCTCCCCTCGGACAGAGGCCACTGTGCTAAGCTACGACGGGAGCATGTACATGAAAATCATGCTGCCCACGGTCATGCACACCGAGGCCGAAGACGTGTCCCTCCGGTTCATGTCACAGCGAGCGTACGGCTTCATGATGGCCACCACCTCCAAGGAATCAGCCGACACCCTTCGCCTCGAGCTGGACGGGGGGCAGATGAAACTCACGGTCAACCTAGGTAACCTGCTGGCCCTCACCCTGCCAGGGACTGGCCCCCTCCTCAGCCTCCAGCTCTCTCCGTGCAGGGAGCCGCACTGTGGAAACCAGGCGGTGGGTGGGGACTCCGACTGGTTCACCAGTAATTTAATTCCGGCGGAAGAATCTTCAGAGAAACCTGCTTTTCCCCATTGCAAAATCCACCTGCTCAGCTGCAGATGCAAATGCGCTCAGTGGCCTGGAGCCTCATGCAGAACTATGATATATTTTGCCATCCCAGAGAGGATACTCGTGAGTAAAGGCCCCCTTTGTAAAACTAGAGCAGGGGCCTTCAAACGTGGCAACAACTTTCAGACTTGCGGATTTCAACTTCCAGAATTCCACAAGTCTTAAAGTTGCCAAGTTTGGAGACCTCTGACACTGGAGAGCTGCAAAACCTTCCAGATTCTCAGTATTTCCACTTCAGAGCATCCTGTTCTCGCCTGAAGTTCGCTTTGATGATTTTCAGAAGTGTTTGGAGTCCCAAACAGCTGCGATGCAAGTTGGAGACAGATGTTAGGAGCCTGGATGACCTCCGGGGTAGGCAGAGCAACCCGTCCGAATTTTCGAATGTTTGTTTCTGCGTTTCTAAGAAAAAACGCTTCCAAACTGAGACACAGTTCAAAAGTCTCGTTCCGCCCAGTTTTTGCTGAACGGGCTAAAAAAATTCCCTCTGGGAAGGAGACATTTGGCCACTCCTGTGGGACCAGACACAAAGTCCTCGACTTACGACCACAGTCGAGCCCAAAATCGATGTTGCTAAGTGAGAAATTTGCTAAGTGAGCCTTGCCCCATTTTATGACCTTTTTTGCCATAGTTGCAGTTGTTAAGTTAGTAACAGGGTTGTTAAGTGAATCTGGCTTCCCCAGGGACTTCGCTGGTCAGAAGGTCTCAAAAGGGGATCACGTGATCCCAGGCCACGTCATAAATATGAGTCAGTAGCCCAGCATCTCAGTTTTGATTACGTGACCACAGGGATGTTGCATCGGTCATAAGTGTGAACATTGGCCATAAGTCACTTTTTTCAGTGACGTTGTAACTTTGACCGGTCACTAAATGAACTGTTGTAAGCCAAGGAGCACCTCTAGATGTTCACCTCCCATCCGTGGGAGGCTCACGTTAGCCCCAAGGCAGTGGAGCCCTTCCTGCAGGCTAAGGACCATGGGCCTCAAGGCCTCATCCCTACTTGGAGGCGGCGGTTACAGATAGTCCTCACTTCCTGGCTGGCAACTCTGCCCTCCCTTCAGAGGAACGTGAGAACGACCTTGGAAGGGGGAGGAGGGGAGAGAGGAGAAATGCGGAGGAAGGAACCGTCGGATAAAAGGGAGAGCAGCCCCCAGCTGAATGACAGGCAGGAGGGGGGGGGGGGGGGGGGGGAACTTGATCCACCCTAAATTTTCAGGTGATAAAAAGAGACAGGAGGAGATTTGTACTTTCAGACTTGGAAAGGAAACACAACAGATTCAAGTCAGTTCTATTTAATTGTAAGGCTCCATTAATAGAGGCTGAAAGCACAGCTCCCCCCAGCATCTCTTTTTACCCCCTGATAAGTTAGGATGGATCCTAATGAGGCGTTTCCCCCCCCCCTTC